GTTGGTACTGTTTTTACATCCGAATTACAAAAATATTTCGGAAAAATATTAACATTTACGTGAGGTAGACCGATTTGAAAGCGCTTAAAAAATGTTTTTTTTTTTCTAAATACATAATATTAAGTTTTAACTGCAGATGATAAAAAAAGTGTAAAATCAAATAACTCTTAATAAAAATGTTTGATAATTTTATTAACGGAATCTACTATAAGTAATGAGATTTTTGGAGATATTTTCAAGACGGCCCAGCTCACGTAAATCTACATATATTTCCGAAATTTTGGCAAAGGTCCTAAAATATAATAAGATTTAAAATACCGTTGGAAAATCCGCATTTGTTTTTTATAAGACACCCTAATGTACATACAACAAACACCCATACGATGATGGCCTGCACATGCGATACATAATTGCGCACAAATGCCGGTTGGAGTCGAGTGCAAGAATGTTTGCTTGCTGTAGTTGTATGTATTTGTATTAGTTGCAGCAACACTGGCAATACTAACAACAACGACCTAGCAGCGCCTTGCGTCAAACATCAAATTACCAGATCTTCATTCGATAGTTTTGAATTATGAAATTTATGTTATGAGGCAGATGAAAAATGTCTGATGCTAAGCAGAACTATGAGCATACTAGATAAATATATACTTAGATATGTAGATACATTTTCAGGTAAATACATGACTACGCCAATAAACTGACAAGCCTTGAGCAGAACTTTTTTCTTTAATTTACAAACTTACGTAAGTATATATGCAGTCTTTTTATGTCTGTATGTATGCATGGAAGTATGTATGTATGTATGTATATAAAATATGTTGTTTACCTGTTCGGATATGATTAAAGATGGCATCAAACATTTTGTGGCTGAATGTTGTAACACATAATTGTTTATAAACACACATTCTCATAAAATTGTATACACGTACATACATACATACTTATGAACATACAAATATATGCACATGCAAACTTATTTATGTACATACATACATATGTATCTACATACATGGAGCTCCCTTAAATTTAGGTC